TATATATATATATATATATATATAGCACTTTCTGTGTCCCAGATTCAAGTTGGAACTTTAAACAGTCATTTTAAGCGGTATTTTTTCATCAAATTGACATAAGAAAAATTGTGATTTATAATATTTTTTGTATGGTTTTTGAATATCTTATTTTAATTTTAAACTATTGAGTTAGTCTAATCTAATTTAAATCATAAAATTAATCAAATTAATTTTTGATATCCGCTCACGTTTTGCTCCATTACATGTCTTCCCTTATCGTTTACGATATTACACTTTGTAGGCATATAAAATTTATTGGAATGAAATCCATAAAATATTTTGGACTATATTTTAAATTCAAGATATATTAGTTCAAATAAACTTATTGGGCTAATATAATTGAATTAATTATATCAGTCCAATATATATGGATTAAATAAATAAGCCTTAATTCATTGGGCTAGCCCATTTAGTTGGGCGAGCCCACTTCATTAAGCCCAAGATGTCATCTTCCTAGAGGCCCAGTTTGGTGCCACGTGTCAAATGACGTGGTGCGCCAAGTCAAACGGAAGAGCCAATAGGATCATGCCACGTATCAAAATGACAAGGCATGCCAAGTCACACTGAAAGGCCAAAGAAATCGCGCCACGTGTGCAAGTGACATGTTCTGGCCAATCAAATACGCAAATACGGCCATGTCACACTTCAATTTGATTGGTCGGAAAGAGTTTGTTCTTATCACAACTCCTCCCTTCCACAACTATAAATAGGGGTCTTCATAACCCAGAAAAGACACCAGAAGTTATAACAAGAAGCAAGAAAGAGCTCGTGGATCAAACACTGCAAATTCCTCCACAAGTTTCAAGCTTCAAGCAATCAAGTTCAAGCTCAACAACGAAGAACAAATCAAGTTCAGGCTCAAGAACGAAGAACAAATCAATTTCAAGTTCAAGCATCAAACTCAAGATCAAGAACGAAGTCAAATCAAATACAAGGCGTTCAAGATCAAGGCTACTTGTTCGTGATAAAATTCGTGGCAACAATCAAAGTGTTCGCGACGGATAAATCAAATTCAAATTCAAGATCAAGCTCAAAGGCCCTTGAATTTATACTGGAAAAGTAGAACCAGAGGATTCATAGAGGTTGTAACACTCAAATATTCGAAATAAAATACTACAATTGCTGCGATATTTTCGGTCTTGATTTTATTTTCTCGATGCCAATTTATTGTCTACAGTATGATTAGAACATATTTTCCAAAAAATATTTTTTCATAAATAAGTTGGTTTCTGATTCTGGTTGCTATAAAATGATTTTCAAATGAAAAAATAAAATTGACATCTTTCACTTATCTCAATTATAGACGGAATTCATTTTCTTTCGCAACTATATCAACTGTCAACTTATATCCCTGCTGCAACCAATACATAGAGATCATCATGAATATTTAAACACTCAAGAATTTGTTCAATACATATCAATTTGCTAGTACTACTACCATTTTTTGATAAATGTGTTTTATCATAAAATAATTTTCACTCATCAATCAAACACTAATTCTTTTTACATAAGATTACTTATTCTGCAGATTTTTTTCTTCCCTGAGAATGACTTCCGTCATACCAAACATATATACTTAAAAGGTTTAGTTTTTACTTCATTTTTTAATCCACCACACACCACGTACGGTGCGCTGGAGGTTAGGCATGGACCCTTATTTATACATTACTTATCTAAAACAAGTACTATATAGCTAGGTGGATATTTCTCCAAGCCTCATTGTGTTACATGATGAAAAACTCATCCTTGTACAAAAGTGTGCCAAGTAATAACAATCTGCCCCTACCAAATACTACATGCCGTACAAGCCTGCCCAATTTTCACTACGCATTGAACTGCCAAATTGTAGTAAAAAATAAAAGTTTGGAAATTCACATTTTAGTGTATATATCCAAGTTCCAAACATAGTGTAGCTGAACTGCTGAAGTACAGTACTCCCACCAAAAATAGAATGTTATTTTTTCAACTGTAGGAGTATATATATTTTTTTGGGTTCCCACTCGGTGTTCGGTGCCCGCTTTAAAACCCGACTATATCCGGATTCACGCCGCGTAGGGCCCCACTGGGTGAAGCGCTCCCTACCAAGGATTTTTCCATGCCAATCGGGGGGAAGCGCTCCCTACTTGGTAGATGTGTAAGACATCTCTGTGGCATGTTTTATTACGTACAGCCAGGGAAAAAAAAAAGGAATGAAAACATACTTCACTTGTTATTTGTGTTTGACTGAGCTGAAGGACAAAGAACATGCATCTCATGATCAAAACTCGGACCATCTCTAGGCAAATCTGCATAGCCTATTCCCCTACGTGTAGTAGGAAAAACACTGAAGAAAAAAGTGGAAAAAACTCCAGCAGCCAATGGCAAATTCATGAACAAAGCTTTCATGTTTGGGCCAGCTTTAGGGCAATAGCAGCTTTGCACGTTAGCATCACTAAGAGCAAACATCAAGAACATTAAGAGTGACACAAAGGCATGAACAAAGTCCATTTTCTTGATATGTGGTACTTTTCTAAATAAGTTTTCATGTGCTTTCTCGCGGGTTCATCACAGTTGAACACGTGGAGGCCTTTCCATACGGCGATTCCGTAGTACAATTTCCCGTTTTCGTCGAGGAAACTGTCGGTGAACGAGGAGAAAAAACAGGCGGCGGCACAGAGGACGATGAGGATTCCGGTGAGGAACTTGTGAGTAAGAAGACAGGAGCCACCGTCGGTAAAAGATGGCATTAGAGTTTGGAAAGCAAGGACGGTTCCTGTTGGTAAAAGGTTTGATACACCAGCTAGGACTTTGTTTGCGCGGTTCCCATGCCGGGGTTTATTAGTATTCATCTGATTAATGGCTAGTGTTGTTGTGTTAATTTGTGGGGATGATTGAGCCATGGAAATTTTCTTCTTCTTCTTCTTCTTTTGATATTTAATTTGTCTTTTTTTTTTTTTTTTTGTTATGATTGAAGTGGTGTATATCATATATGGTAGTCCTTTTAATAGGTATGATTATAGGAGAAAGTGATAGTTATGTAAGCATGCAGACGTCCAGAATACGATGCTTTAAACAACAGATTTTAGTTAAAGAATCTTGAGATCTAATTTACATAAATCAAAATTAATACTCCCTCCGTTTCAATTTATGTGAACCTATTTGACTGGGCACGGAGTTTAAGAAAAGAGAAGACTTTTGAACTTGTGGTGTAAAATGAGGCACATATATTTTGTGTGGCTATAAATCATTGCATAAAGGTAAATCGTTTCCAAATAAGGAAATGGGTCATTCTTTTTGGCACGGACCAAAAGGAAATAGGTTCACATAAATTGAAACGGAGGGAGTATGAGTTGTCACCAAATTAGATATCATAGACGGTGTCAAGAAAAAAATTACTCCCTCTGTTTCAATTTAGATGACACATTTTCCTTATTAGTCCGTTCCAAAAAGAATGACAAATTTCTACAATTAGAAAAAATTCAACTTTAAACTCTTCATTTTACTCATTTTACCATTAATGAGAAGCTTTTACAACTACACAAATATCGTGGCCCCACAAAACTTTACCCCTTAAGCTTTTAAGACCACAAGTTTCAAAATTCTTTTTTTCTTAGACTCCGTGCCGAGTCAAACTATCTCATCTAAATTGAGACGGAGGGCGCTATCCATTAATACCACAATAAAGATTATTACTCTAATTAAATAAAAAGCTAAAAAAATACAAACTGGCAACGACATGATTCTCTCTCGGCGCAGGTTATTCTAACGTGCACCAGCCATGGGGAGGAGAGCTCGTGTTCCATCTCAAAAAGCGTTAATGGCAACGTCGGCAGCAACACAAGCTAAATTACAAGCGGGAACGAGTGCTACTAATGGATCGAAGCTGGGGAAATCAAATTCTCCTAACAATTCCAATGAAACAGTAACCAATGTAACAGTAGAGAACAATGCAAAAAGAGAGGAATTAAAGCAGATGCAAGCGATGAATGTGTGAAATGAACTATCCTCAACCCAAGGAATGAAGGACAGAGCAAGTCTCCTGGTAATGGAAGGAAATCATGGGCATGAAATGAAGGAAGAACTAGGGCAAACAGGAAAGAGGAATTCAATTTGGGATGAATTCGACATTACTAAGCTTTGAATGCCGGATTCAAGCTGAAATATGTTCAACCTAAGCTGCATGGTGAGTCTCGTGTAGGTACAATTGAACTAGAAGACATTTCTAGTGAAATTGAGTATTGGCAGAATGCAATAGTTTGTTATGTACTAGGTGTACATCCTCTTTTTGCAATGATTCAGGGTTATATTAAGAAGCTATAGGCTAAGCGTGGTATTAACAAAATCTCTATGCTTAAAATGGGGTTATATTTGTCAGATTTGATTCTACTGTTGCAAAGCAAGAGGTGCTGAACGTAATCTATCACTTTGATAATAAGCCTTTTATTGTCAAAACATGGAGTCCAGATTTGGAATTCACTAGGGAGGAATTGCTCACTGTGCCAATTTGGGTGAAATTTTCAGGCCTCAACTTCAAGTATTGGAGTCCTAATGGGTTGAGTAAGATAGGAAGTTTGGTGGGGAGACCTCTAATGGTGGATCAAAACACTAAAAAGGAAGTAAGCCTACAATTTGCAAGGATACTAGTATAGGTGGAGTTGGATGCTCAACTACCAAACACAATACTATTTAGAAATGAGAAAGGTCAGCTCATAGAACAAATAGTGAGTTATAATTGGGAACCAACACTGTGTACCTATTGCCATGCTTATGGGCACGCAAAGGAGGTGTGTAGAAAGAAAAATAAGCCAGCTGCTCAACATGATAAGGTAGCACTACAACAGAGGTAGTGCAAAAGAAGCAACAGGTAATGAAGCAGGGGAGATGAAAAAGGGTAAGGAACAGACAAAAATGTCTCAGTAACAAGCATCAACTAGTTCAGAATGGATCAATCATTTAAGAATTGGAAGATTCCCACCTAAACAGAACCTACAAATTAAAAAATCCAACTCTTATCAAATATTGGATAAGCCTGCAACTGTCATCCCAGTAGAACCTGCTACTAAAAGTGCCACTGGAGAGAAAGGGGGAGGGGGAACCATATCCCATATTAGGAATGATTAATCTACTATGTTGGAATGTTAGGGGCTTGAATGCTCCAAATAAGCAGAAGAAAGTTAAAATCCTCGGCAATGAAGTTAAGGCTGGTATAGTGATCTCGTCCAAGTCACACCTCTATTCGAGGATATGAAACAGTCGATGCAATAGTAATACCCAACAGAGTCGGGGTTGAATTCCACAGGGAGCTATGAGATTGGGATTTAGGAGTATATATTACGGTATATGAGCTTGAACTATCCTAAATTGCACTTCCACAAATTTGGTTGGTTCTATAGCTAAGTTAAACTAAGATTGCAAATAATTAGTTGAAACTATGAAAATGTGTTTTTGTTGTTGTTTTTAAATTTGTAGACGGCCTAGGGTTATGACCTTCACCTAGGTGTTTGCCTAACGGGTTGTAAACTTTAGAGCTTGTTTTATTGGTCGGGTGTATTATAGCTATCAACACTCAATTACCCACTCAATACCTCTCGGTAAGAGAGTGATTTTGCCCAATTTGGCTTTCTCAAGTCCAGCCGGGTATTGAACAAAACAGTTGATAAAATGCTCAAGTCAGATTTTACTATCTCTAGGTTCAACCCTTTAATTGGGACTATCAATCTCTTGATTTCGTCCCAAATTCTTGTTAGCCATGTTTTCCTAGACTAAGTCTCTCTTTCTCAAGTAGAGACCAAGTTAAAGTATATGTACTTTATTTAGTATTTAATCAGGAGGTTTCTCTTTTTCCTCAGGGAAACCATTAATTCTACAATAAAGGTAAGAACAAGGCTAAATAATCAACGCCTAATCATAAACAAGCTATAAATTAAACACCCATTAGGTTTACACACTAGGGTTGGGTCACAACCCTAGCTAGAAATATAGCTACTCATGCATAGAATAAAAGAAATAGAAGAAGAAAGATAATTAAACGCATATTGAAAGATTAAAAGACAAAAATCCAATGTTAAATCACTAAAGTAAGCAAAAGTTGCCTAAAGCAGTAAAGAAAAATGACTACAGGAGTTTAGATATTCAAAACTTGACCTAAATTCGTGAAACTAATCTATTTATACAAAGCTAGAAATTTCGGACAAAAATGCCCTTTCGGAGGTTCTACGGCCGCGCGGCCGCACAATTCCATGTGCGGTCCGTACTTTGTTTGAGTCTTGACAAGAGTTGGAATCTGTGGGCGTACAATTCTGGATTGCGGCGGCATGTCTCTTGTTCTGCGGGCCGCACAATAATTGTGCGGTTTGCATTTCCTTTAGGCTCAAAATGAGACTTCTCTGAACTTGAGCTCTGACATAGCTTCTGCAGCCGCACAATAATTGTGTGGTCCACACTTTATACTGAGGCTCTGATGGATTTCTCTTTGCATTCTACGGCCATAGATTAAATTCTGCGATCCGCACTTGGGCCTTTGTGCCTGATTTTTGTCCTTGAGTAAACATCACTCCTTTTTGAGTTGGATTTCATCTTTGTGGCTCATTTTCCAACTCCTGCAATTAAGCATGTTTTATCAGTTTTCGGGAATATAATTAAATACTTTCGGACTAAAACGAAAGTAAAAAGGCGCTAATAAGTAGTCAAAATCCGCACTTATCCTATAGTAGGTCTGTTAGAAACTAAAATAAAGAAGGATAAGATTGAACAAATTGTTGGTAGCTTGTTTGGAGGTTGGCACTATATTACCAATCTTGAAGCACACTATAATGGTAGAATCTGATTGACATGGAGACAAGATTACTATGATGTAGTCCCAATAGGTATTAATGCACAGAGTGTGACATGTGAAGTGATTTACATTCCATTACAACTGATATTTCTGCTCACAGTGGTGTATGTTTTCAATACAAGAGAAGAAAGAAGAGAGTTGTGGGATAGCATCATGCAACAACATGGACATTGTTCTAAACCTTGGCTGATATTAAGTGACTTTAATGCAGTATTGACAGAGGAGGATAGAATAGGAGGAAATCTAGTCACATTGGCAGAAGTAATGGAATTCAGGAATTGTGTGGACTATTGTGGTTTGATTGAACTTCCTCATCAGCGCAATAGGTACACATGGAATGACAAACGCTCTGAACAGAGAATATTTTCCAAGATAGATTGGGCTTTCATCAATGATAAATGGCTTAAGATAATGCCAGCCTGTCAAGCCAAGTTCTTACTTGAAGGAATAAGTGATAATTGCCCCATACAGTTAACTTTAGAAGGAGTAAAGACAAGAAAAAGGAAATCATTTCAATACTGCAATGTATGGGATCAACATCATTTGTTTGATGCCACTATCAAGGCTGGGTGGGAGGTGCAGATTGAATGGTGCAAAATGTTGAGAGTTGTTAAGAGATTGAAGCTGCTAAAGAAAGGACTGAAGCAATCAAACTCTAAGTACTTCAAGGACTTAGTAAAAAAAGAAGATGATAGCAGGGAGGAATTAAGGAGAATTCAGGAGAAGATGCAAGCAAATCCACTAGATAAGGGCATGCAGAAGAATGAAAGAGAGGTGTATCAACAGTTTAGAAAGATTTCATACATGGCAGAATATACTTACAACAGAAGAGTAAAGCTAATTGGATAAGATTGGGAGATGATAATACAAGGTATTTTCATGTTATGATTAAACATAGGAGAATGAAATTAGCTACAACACAGATAAAGGATAAACAAGGCAAATGGCAGAGTGATCTAGATAACATAGCTCAGGTGTTTGTTTAGTATTATGAGAACTTATTGGGACAAACTATAAATGCAAGAGTTAGAGCTTTCACCAGATTTTTGAAAAGAGGGCCGGTGT